TAGATATTTTGTAATCTAAAAAAGAATTTACATGGGCATCGTTTTCATTTCGAAGATGAGACTGATGAAGCTATAAATGCATTTTTTCAGCGATTCCAAGAAATGAATGGCCTGAGACATTTAATCTTCAGGAAAACTCGCCTACAGAAGTGCATTGATGCTAGAGGAGACTAGGTTGAACACTCCTAAAATTTTGTAAGCATAACTTTAAAAACGTATGTGTATCTCAAAATTTTCAGAATAACTCTCCTACGACCTTGAAATGTTTCTGGATCGTATTGTGATACCAGCTTCCAGCCATTTTTAGAACACTTTGTATACCCCTACACTTTTTATAATTAAACTTTTGAAAGCTTTTCACTCTGTATATAGAGCATATTTAAAACTAAATGAGAAATAAATATCGATGAATAAAAAAACAACTTAAATGAGTTTATGTTTAAACTATGCACAGCTTAAAATTGTATTAAATATGTTAAACAAAGTTTGTCCTGTAACCACAACTTATTTACTATATGTTGAAAATAACAAATGACTTACGCATAAATCACCTAAAATAAAATTATCTTCTGTGGTGAAACTTCATAACAAATGCAGTTCTTTGTTTCGAAAACTTTCGTTGCGAATTTTTATCAATATTTAATGCCTCAAGTCAAGGATTTGAATATAAGAACTAAAATTAGGTTATGTTTTTAGAGGCATGCTAAATCAACACAGAATTGAAATCCCATGATTCCAGAATTATTTTTCTCTGTTTTCCAATTCCAACTAATACCATGAGACAAACATGAGATTAAGCTCTCTACTCTGCATATTGGAAGATTTCACGAGTGGGAACTCATAAATATTTTATTATATAATTCTCGTTACTTACAGCGTAGAGACTCGGTATTGCACAGTTTCTGTTCCAGGTATTGATTTATTTCAGCTGCAGAAAATAACGAAGCACCATAGCATCACTGCTTCCTTAAGATACGTTCTTCACGCCTAAAGCTGTCAAGAATACATTAAAAGGGAAAGTCAAGGTAAAAATTTCAATCGGAATGAATAACGAAATAGAATTGTCTTCGATTACTCTTCTGCAATCTTTTTACAAGGAAGCTCTTGGCTAAGTTGATTGTAAAAAGACTCTAAGGAGCTTTCACTGCTTTACAGTCTAAAACAAATCAAATACATCCTGTCAGTGTTCTATAAATTTCAAATTCTTATCAACTTATTGGACAAGAAGAGGAACATTCTTCCCAACCTGATTATGTCGGATAACAAATTTAAAGCAAATTTAAAGAAATGTAGCTTGAATTATTGTTCCAGCTTCTGCCATATATGGTAGTTATTTTCAATGGCAGATCCATAAAGCTTTTGCCCTGACTGCAATATTTTATAGTAGAAATAGTTCTTCAGAACCCTCGAATGAGTACTTAATCATATAAATCAGAGATCACGTAAGAATAGCTAGAGTGTCTGATAACAAACAATATTAAATTTGTAAAATGCGTCTTAAATTTATAATGTTCAAGACACGTACCCCATAATAAAAAAACCCTCAAATGTATGTTTTCAAAAGTTCATAATTTTGGCAGTGATTGACCTTTATTACGTCCCAAAAAATCGTGAATTTCAACAATACTAAAGCAGTCAATTTAAATCATTTTTCTTAACTAGTTTTTAAATTCTTCTATTTCTATTGTGTACTTCAGTCCTCAAGCTGCAAAAAAGAATTTTACTATTCTGCGGACAATATTTTTAAAAAACCCTTTTTAATTAGATTTTATTTACATTTTACATATTTTACAGTTAATGATAAAAATCTGATGTGTACACCACATGACTTCCTTGTACGGAATATTAAATTATATACATTTTTTTTTGCATTTCATTTAAACTTTATTGGATTGAATTAAATGTACTTCGTCGATATCGCATAAACCACAATAGAATAAATGCACTCTTTAAAATTCACTATATTTGTTTACCATAGCGACACTCTGGTGCTAGGTTCACTTAGCAGCGTTATATTTCGTTCATATTATTACTCAGAATGTGAATGAAATATAACGCTATAAATTTATATCATTTAAAGAATTATCTAATCGTTGCCACATGTTCTATTCAAATACTATAATAAATCTAAAACGATACATAAAAGAAATTAAGCAATCAAAACAAAAAAGAAACAGTTTTTCACAGACGATTCAGTATTTCTCATTTAATTAATTCAGTTCTCACTTCCATAAGACAAAAATACATAAAAACTCAAAATATCTATATTAAAAATTAAGTGTTTAAGTAAATCTTAAACGTTAAGTGTTTAAGTAAATCTTAAACACTTATTTCCTCGAATAAATTCCAGGATGAATTAAACATGATTTAATTCGCAATAATTAAAGAAGGCATTATCTTTCTTGTTGCAAAGCTTAGTTTCTCTGAATTGGCAACAAATCCGCTATTTTATTTTGCCAAGTTTAAAATGTAAACAAACATGTCCACCATCGCAAAAATGTTAGCCTCAGGTGCACTTAAACAACTTTGTTGATTAATTGTTGATAATATCACAAATATTACACGCAGATTTACTAAAGGCATAAAACCCTTAACCGGAAGATATGAACAACATATTTCAATCATTTTTAAAGCAAAAAATGCACCTACAAACATATAAGAGTAAAGAAACTGAGATCACTGAGCCGGTTAACAGAGTGGATGTATACATATATTTATATACGCTTGGTGAGGCCGATTGCAACCAAAATACGAAGTGCACATCTACATTTTATAGCTGTCCTATATAGAAAATTTCAACGTTCTGAGGCTACTCGTTTTTGAGTTATGCGTACATACAAACGCCACGAAAAATTCTCTTCAGAATTCATTTTAAATCAGTTTTATAATTTTTTGGGGGGAAAGAGTCTTTTCTTTCCTTACATTCAGATGTCACACAAAAATATCGTTAAATTGCATTCGATAGCGGTCAAGATGGATATTTTCGTTGAAATATGATGCCTGAATATTTTTGCGATTACAATACTTTCTTTTTACTTCGTACAAAGAAGTAAAAACAGAACGAAAAAGTAAAGAAAAAAATTAATATATCGCCAACAACTGTTGAATCACAGTTTCTTGCTGAATCTGTGAATCCTTATTTTTATTTATTTACATATTTTTACAGTTGCTGCTATAAGCATAATTTCATAGCAGCGGTGGGAGGTGAGCCTTCGAGGATAAAGTGAGGCTTTACGGACATAGATAACAAAAGACCCGTGTTTCAGTATTTTATTACGTCTCTGCAGTGCGCAGCGAACAGCACGGGGACTGAGCTGCTCGCAGACCTGCTGAGGAAGATTTCAATAATCAACCTCACCTTCAGAAGACAAGAGGATACCTAGGGATGGTGGCCAGAATTAACACGCATGGTCGACATTTGTATCATAATCCATATTTAAATGTAATCGATTTAGTCAAATAAATTTTGATATTCTTTAATTTATAGGAACTCCAAAACGAAATTTGGTTATGTTAACGGATGCCACTTACCTTCGAACATAAACGTTGGAGCAAAATCTACTTAGATGTCAACACCCCAAACGATACATAAAGCTTCATGAAAAGAATAACTATTTCACAGATAATGCATATAATATACGTAATAATTAATATGCGAATACAAAGGCTGCGCGCTATGTCAAATCTGTGCAATTCTTTGATGTTATTTTAAACAAAACACAACGAAAACTGATCGATGTGTTCGTGGGAAAAAAATTTTTAAGGGGTATGAGAAACTCCTATACCGACAATGTTAAATTGGCCATTTACGATGCACCTTTTTTCAAAATCTGCTGTAGATACAATCTTGAATTTTTTTTCTGTAATTAAAGCATACCTATCTGATTATACTGAAATGAGCTTTTGAAATATTTTTAATTTTAAAGTAAATTACAGGATATTTTGTTAGGCATAGTAACATTTAGCACTTTTCTCACACAAAAAAATTAAATTTTTTTCTACGTTTATTACAAAAATCTCATTTCAGTAAATATTAGGGAACCTAATAAATAAGCCATAAAAAGTTTAGGTACCTGTGAGCAGTAGTTCCTGAGAAAAGGTACATCGAGTATAAAAAATTACGTTTGGAGAAAAACGCGTTTTTAGGTAAAAATCATCATTGATCGAAGCAGTAGATGACAAATTAAAACTAGATTTTTTTACAGTTCTAATTTTCATAGAGATTAAAGAATGGTATTTTTAGAAAGATAAAAGTGTAGAGAATTTGAAAACGCAAAAATCCGAAATCACAATTTTTTGAAGATTTTGGGGTTCCAACTCCCCTTAGCATAGAAAAACATTACCAGTGGCTCGTGATACATCGCTGGTGTACCTCATGCATTTACTTGTACTGAAACCTACTCTCCCCATGTACAGAGTGTGCTGTGCGCCAGAGTGTCGCTATGGTAAACAAATATAGTTAAAATACCAAAAAATTTCACAAATTCCGTGAAGCTTGACTATCAATACAAAATCAACTGTAAATCTAGGACTGAAAATTGCTGGACTGATGGTTGAATCTGCCAGCTTAATCGCAAAGATGCATATTTGTTGTTTCGTTATTTTCAGCAATATAATTTTCTCTATATTTATCAAAAACTTAGCTTTTATGTTGATAAGTATACTTTTCTGGCAATCTCTTTCTAAATAGCGTCTAAATAACTTCGCATATCACAGTTATTGCAGAAAATATTTCAATCCCAAACAGTTGAATAAATTATATTTAGAAAAGAGGGAACGTCATAGATTTCCATATGTTAGTTCTTAATTTCAAAGGAAAGTCACAAGGGCATTTCATTGCAAATGAATTGATAATATATTTACGTACAAAATATTTAAATGGTAATAACAAACGCCCCAATAAGTCATTTTAGAAATTCATGATTATGTTATCTGATAAATGCTTTAACAGTAACGATGCTTAATTTGTTTTCATGCGGACTGTGATTTTGAATTTTCAGCCTGGAACATCAAAAAGTATACAATGTGACAGCCATTCATTGTCATGGACTGAAAAGACAAACTGCCCTGGTTTGAGCTATGTAAGTGAAGATGGTGGCTACTGGTATGACTCTCAGCCAACCGGACAGCAACATTTCAATATTCAGGTCAGTGGTGGTGGAGATGCGAATGTTCTTATTCATCAGGCACGTCTCAGAACTAAGACTGCCATGGTACGGGAACCAAAGCACAAAGACACAAACAAAGATTTTGAACCAGAAATTCAGGTAATTTTATGTATTAAATACGTAACTAAAATGACAGAAAATTACTGATTTGTTGATACGGATGCTCTCTGGATACTCAAACAACATGGCAGAAACCCATTACATTAATGAAAACTGTGTAGAAAAAGAGATAGAGGGCGCTTCGCCGCCCGTATGTTTAGCTAATTAAAATTTTTCACCTTAGAGAATTGAGAGTTTGATGAGAATGGTTGAGAGTGGTATAAACCAGATATCCTGTAATCTGTATATAATACTTGTACATAGTCTTTGATTCCTAAATAGCTTTAGTTAAAGGAAAGTGTCTTTATTTGGTAGCATAACATATCAAGATCCACCGATGTCGCGTATGGAATATTGAGTAAGTTATTACAAACTTCCAGTCTCAGTACTTAACACTTTGACTGCCGCATCATCCGTCAATACGGGTGACAGCAGAAAGTCTGATCAGGCCACGCCACCCGTATTCGAGTAACAGTTTTTGAGTACTTCTGAAGTAAAGTAGGTATTTGGAAAAATTATTACTTCGTCCTGAAAGAAAAGAAAATGATAGTTGCCGACAGCTATATTCATTTCATTCATTAAACTGTGTTTTCTTTCGGTATCAACGCTTCTTCCTAAACAACCAGTTCTTGTAAAATATGATCAGAAGTATCTATACTACATTTATTATCACTGTATTTATCAGTATCCGAATCAGAAGCTCACAACAAGTTTCGCTTTCACTGCTATATAACTTATTTAAAAATTACTCTTTCATTTTTCTTTTAGACATTGCAAAAAGTTGGGACAACAATTTTAACGCAAAAAAAAATTTCAACCATTTGTCACTACAGAAAAAATATTTGGAAAAGAAGAAATAATTTGAAAACCTTACACCCTCTGTTAGATATTTCATTCTTGAGGAAAGATTTTAAACTCAATGCATGTCTCAAAAAAATTCGTTCTAAACGCCTACGATAGTAAACAACTGACGCATGGTGTAGCAACCCTCATTGCTTGAAAGAGATTTTCGTACAAATTCACGTGGCAATAAACGTGTTAAGAGGTTTTTTAAATCGTTGTAATTAGTCTTTGATAGTGATATTGGAAACCATTAAGTGAAGATTTCTTTCAGTTTGAAAGTACAACTGAAAGGTTCAGTTACTAAAACTAATTGAACCAAAATTCTCATTCAGAAATACTTCTTTAAAGATATAATTAGGATTTAAATTCCTTTGCTAAGCTTTCAACAATCTGTTGAAAGATGGTAAAAGAAAAGATTTACATGTCTACGGCGAAGTGATAAAAGAATTAGCTACAACGGGAAAAATTAAAATGATAAAACTAAATTTGAACCTGATTCATTGTCTCCTATTTAGTGCCTTAGGAATGAATTGAAACTGATGTTATTATCTAATCAACAGTATCCGACAATTCAATATTTTGTAACTTTATAAAGTATTTCTCCCGCCTTCGTAGTTTGGTTGCTTCTGCACTCTGGGCGCGTATTCCAGAGGTCCGCGGTTCGATTCTCGGCGAAGGCGTTGCTCATTCTTCAATTTGCCTGCTTCCAAAAATTACCTAATGTCTCTACAGCTTAAATGATTATTTTTAAAGTACTTTTAATTTTGTGTGTTGACGTTACAAGAAAAAGTATTTTGGAAACCGAAATTCATCATATAATATCAGTTCATATGTATGATTATTTACGAATCAGCATGTAAATCTTGCATGCTTACTAAATGAAAATTCTGCACTTGATTTAAAAGGCATAATATTGTACAGTGAATTAAGTAGTAGACACATATGGTAGACAGTATTTTAAGTAGACACATATTGCCTACTATATAACTAAATTAACATGGTTGAATTCAATTAAATAAATAAATAAATAAAAAGCAGTATACACTATTGCACATGGGCATGATCCATAAGCAGGAAAAATATCAACCACAGAATATAAATTAAAGAAATCAGTTTAAATTATTAATGTGGAATTAACACCGATCATTGTCATTGCGATCTAGAGAATATATCGTACTCATACTTTTCGGTTAACTCAGATCATTGAAACTAATTTCAGCCAGCAAGAAAAATGCAGCCATGGCTACCTGTTTTTGCTATGTTACGGCTATCTCTGCTACTGTCCCGAAATGTTAAATTAGGATATAAATAAATTCATTTCCTAACTATTATAAGGAGGAATACTGACGTCTTGAGGCACTCCGGACAAGACAAAGAACTAATCTCTTACCTTGTTAAGCAGGTTACGCTATATTTTATTTTCCAGTAATTAATTAATTCGATGAACTGCTATATTTTTCTGGACTTCTGGAAGATTTTGAAGAGCATTAACACTAGCGACGGGGAGCCATCGGCTGCTTGGAAGACGGCATGTCGATGAAGTAGCGGCTACAGGTGCACACAATTCCAGCAAAATCGACACAATATAGAATTAATTAAAGATAATCACAACAAACACAATTAATTCACGTATATATTTGATTCCAAAGGCAGGTAATGATCTTTGGCACATATTGTATTAAAAGTTTTACTTTCGCACAATTAAATCAGCAGTTGTTCCGGACTGCCTTTGAAGGTTACAAGTGCGCACGTTTCCAGATAAATCTACACAACATAGCTCTAATTAAAGACGATCACAGTAGACACAATTAATTCAAGCACATATGTGTTTCGTGTATTCAAAGGTAAGGATCTCACGCATATATTGTATTAAAACACATATTGAATTATTTCTGCTGTAGCAATATTAATGGCCAGCAGTTTATATTAATGATATTCATTTGTTCATACTTCTACTCTACGAAAAAAATGCAAAATCTTTGAAAATGAAAATTTTTCATTAAATTTGAATTTTATTCAGGAAAGTGAAAAAATAATTTTGTGGCTTTTACAATATTAGATATTATTTTCGTTTAAGAAGAGAGCCGAAGTACTTGTATAATTCAATTATTTTAAATTTTTAATTCAATATTTTAATTCTTAAATCTTTTTTGAATTACTGACGTGAAATTTACTATTTTATAAGGTTTTGCATTTATTGAAATAATCCTTAGTAAAAGCTATATTGATAAACATTAATTCATCAAACTTTCGAATATAGCTTTAATACAAATATTGGATGAACTATGAAAACTATTTTGTTTTTTCTAGAATCTCCTTTTCACAAATACTAATATTTTTTGTCACATACAAATATATTTTTATAAGTTTTTTATAATTTAAATTCTAAATGTTAGATTTGGTAGATGGTCCTAACTATCAAATTTTATTCTCAAATGAAATAAATTTTAACGGAAAATTACATTTCTAGAAAACTCTCTACATATTTGACATAGTAATCATTTTTTAAATAATGTAGTTTGAAAAGAAATTTGACAATTTTTTTTTATTTTATTTTTAAAATGCAAAATTAATAACCCCGAATTTTGAAGTTCTAAAAGATTTTAGCCCCCAGTTACTGACTGAAATCTTTACAAGCGAAGTCCATTTTAAGATAAGTTTGACAAATGTTTTTTGCCCGCTAATATGCAAGCAAATTTACGCCTTGTGAAATGGCTTGTATGAGTTTTATAAGCTTTAGTATTCGTGCATAATCCGAGGCTTTGAACTGAATTACGAATAAAAATCAGCATGCCATTTCAGAAAAATGCGATGTTGTGTCAGAATACATATGTTAGAACAGTGTTATATATAAATGAAATATGCATTACTAGTCGAGCTATCGAAGCATGAAAATGGAATTTAAAGTTTATCGTTCGCCCAACTAGATAAATGTAGAATTATCCTTTTCTTTTTCGCTTATTGTACCAATTACATTGGTTTCTATAACTGTTGTTACAAGATGATTTTTTACTTATTCTATATACGATTTAACGGTTAAATACTAATAAATATACTGCACTTGAAAATAAAACATACTAATATTTTGTTCTTTAGTTCAGTGTTTGTGATTTCTGAACTTTTCTCAACAAAATACAGTAAGACTTCCTTAAGACCCTTGCCTCAGTTTCCAGGAATTTTCTGTGTGTTGAAATGATGCCCACTGTCGACGACGATTAATATATTTATTTGATTATGTTCTTAGAAAAGTTAGCCATTATCCTAGGTAAATGTCATAGGAAGGTGGTCATCGTGAGAACTGCACTACATTCCATTTCGAAGGAAAATGTAATTAAATCTCAAACGGCTTACTAATAAGTAAAATAAATGAAAATGAGGAGCTATTTTGGAACAGAACTCTTTAATGTTTTTAAAACTCATATTAAAGAACTCATATTTATGTTTATTATAGTTACGAAACAAAAAAAAACAATAAAATATTTTACAACTTTATAAATTTGAAATTGCAACACTCGTAACGTATTTTAAACGAGCATATTTATTTTATTTTTTTCTTTCAGTCCAATAAAATCACGAACTGTGGAGTGGAAGTAATGAATACAGAGCAGTTTAATTTTAATTTTATGCAAGTCGAACAAAAGAAAACAATAGAAGCTATCAAGGAGCTCGGTAAAGATATGGAAACTATTAAAGAGGTAAAGAGAGATACGGAGATTATCGAGAAACTAAGTGCAACATGCCTAGAAAAAGAAACCTTTCCAGATGTACTTTCATATTCTACTTCATGTCTGGACGAAGATGAAGAGAATTCTGTGTTTGGAGATAATGCTAACCTTCTGGAAGTAACATCACTCAAATATTCCCATGCAAAAACTGACGGCACTGAAGATGAGGACAAAATTTATAGAGAAAACAAGCACATACGTTTCGACATAGATATCGATGAAAATGAAACGGCACAAGCTAATAATGAGGAAGAAATGATAGGTTTTAATGACTATAAAATGTCTAGTATATCCGGAAGTTTACAATCGCTTTTATTGCAAGATGTTGACGAGGGGAAAGGATCTGATGAAACTCTGACAGAAGATATCGGTGACATCGATAACAGCTCTTCCCTTGGACTAGAAACTAATGTTCTAAATGTTTGTTCTAGCCCACCTGCAGAAGGTCCAAGTTATTCTGAAGAAACACCATTCCCATCTAAAGGTAAGGAGCTACCAAGGACCCCAGTACCATTAAATGAAAACACACTTCCACTGAAATCAACGCCTGAAGATGGTACTCCGCAACAAGCAGGTGCATTGTCCCAACGCAAGCCAAAAGGAAAGGTAAATTAATGTATTCCATATTTTTAGCGTATTTTTTTCCTTCTTTTTACTAATTTTATCATATGAAAATCCTGGGCGGGGGGGGGGGGAATAATTTAATTTCTAAAGGACATTATTAGAGTAAAAACATCAGAAATGCAAACTAGTTATGCATAAATTACCTGTAACTATCACAATATTGTTTTTTTTTAAAGACCTATATTCCAAAACAAAAACTCATAGTAATAGTAAGATTACATTATCTTCATTTCAACTTCATCACAACGTGAATCTTGTCCATTCTTATTCTTCTCTCTGCTCTCCTTAAGCCTCAAGACATTAGAAATAATTAGAGAAGGTCAATGTGCTACTTCACTATCATTGATCATTTCTTGTATTAAGCGGACGTAAAATTCAATAGTTAGAAAGGAAAGATTCGGAATGACCTTGGTAGGTAGTACTTTGCTATTAAGGCAAAAGCAATCCTTACGTAAACAAATATATTTTACATCTTCGGGAAGCTCATATTCTGAAAACATTGAGGAACAGGAAAAGTTTTTTAATTTTCAGAACCTGGCGCTTAAAAGCTGGGGTAAATATGTGGTACTTAATTTATTTTTAGTTAATAACATGTTTAATCATTTCTGCACTAATTTTATTTTTAATTTAATATTAATATCTACAATACTAGCATCGTTATTTATCTAAAGCTGATAAACATCAATGATACCTTGGGCAGCAATTTTCAAAGAGAGTAAAAAGGAAGACTTACAGAGGTTCCAGAGTAATTAGAGGAAAGTTGCAGAAAATCTGTGGCATTGATTTTATACTAAAAAATTTTCGCGGTTCATATAATATACATTAACATTTCGGGGAAGCAGATGACCACAAAACTGAAGCAAAAACAATGAAAAATCTAATATGTAACTACATAAAATTTGTATTATAAACTTTTAATTAAAAGTTACATAATTCTAGAAACATTTTCAAGGCCATTATTTTAGATCCCAGACTGATATTTAATAGAATCTAAAATATTGCACTGGACACAGACAGACATAGATCTCCTTTAAGTAGCACATTTTAAAAAAATGAATCACTCGGCCTCAAAACTGTTTGCCGGCATTGGACAAGCAACGAAGGGCGACTTTAACCACATGGTTTCAACCACATGAAGGTCTTTCAGTCTACCAGCAGTTTGTCTATAGCTGTCCACTATGCACTCCTACTTTACAAATAGGAGTTTACAATTACTGTAAAACTGGATGAAATGAATGACGAAGTAGCCATAATGAGTGTGTATAACCACCATCTGTCATAAAACTTCTCTGAGGAGCTGCTTGAGCTGCATCAAGCACTCACTTACGGAACAGAATTTAGCATCATAGCGGGTGACTTTAACGCAGCAAATACATTTCTGGAGTGCACCAGAAGATAATACGCGTGCTGCCGCTGCACTAGAATTATCACAGACTAGCAGCAGTAAATAGCAATAAACGCCCTCTAACTTTCTGAACCACGCAGCTGCCCAGGCATTGTCCTGGCAACAAAGCATGACCTTTACAATACATGTATTATCTATTATGTACCATTAGGAAGTAAGTAACATTCCCTCCTTAAGCGTTCACAGTTTCATAGCATTTACATTAGCAACAGTACAATAATATGCTATAAGAAATGATAGATCAAAAACCAACTACTTCAAAATGAACAAATTTTAGAGATAACACTGTACCTCATTTATGTCACCTGAATAAACATCAACTAGAAAACAGTGCCAACTTATCAAAATTCGACATAAAGTATAATAAAGTCAGTGGTACTATCCTCTTTGCTTTTGAGAACTTTCTTAAAAAGTAGTACAATGCACCAAACAGAAAAGACTATCACCATTGTACTAGCCATAGATAGCCATAAAGTGACAACCTTAAGACGAAGAGCTAAGAACTGTCACGACTCTGAAGAGCGACAGTCACGCACAATTACTTTTAAAGAACATAGATCTATCTACATTCAGGAGATCCCCAAATGGTATCATGGAACAATTTATAATGATACCAAATTTAATGCTGTTTTTAAAATCTCTCATGATAAAGCGTATCGCCCTCTACACTTAAGCATAGATGCATCTCAAGGTGCTAACCCCACGTTGCAGGTAATTAAACACATATTCATTATCATCTTCAAATATGACAGTCCTAATGCAGACATCACAGAACAGCAAGTTATCTGAAGCTACGTGGAACGGTATTACAACTCGCGTATGCACAACTCGCGATATGGAAACAATGCCAATGGCAAAGAAATAAATGATAACATAAGACTACTCAACCCGAACAAGGCACCTTTTGGGATGCAGATGGGATAGTCCATCGGACGCTCTATGTGTCATATATCGCACGCAATCAGTCAATCATTATGTTGTACATTGCACTTTAGAGGAACAGATATTTCTCAGCAGCTGCAAAGAAAGCAGAAGTAGCCCTCATTTTTAACAATGGGAAAAACCCTAAGAAGGCTACATCTTACCGTTCCATCCGCCTATTCTTTGTCTTCGATAAAGTGTCCGAAAAGGTGGTTCTCCAACGTCTCACTTTATAAACTCCAGAGAACTGCAGAATGCTTATGAGTAGGATTTTAGATTTGGCCCTTTTGTTGCTTTTGTTCATCACGCCTAAGACAAATTCTCTTAGGTTAGGTTAGTGCAATATGCCAATGCTCACTAGCGCTATGTGTCTAAGGGAAGGGATGCCTAGCTATGGACTTTGTAAGGAAACTGGTTCCTATTCATGTTACACATTAAGGAAACCAAAAAAAAACCTATCATGTAGCCACGCGGATTGTTCGGATCGAACTTGAGTCGAACTCCTAGTATTTTGCTCTCTTAACCACTTGGCTGTTACACTCGGCTATGTGCCTAAAGGAAGGGATGCCTTGGTGGAAAACATTCTCAGAAACTGATTTCTGTTTATGTTACACATAAGAAAAACTATAAAAACCTACCATACAGATAGGCCGTTCGTTTGGAACCGAATCTGAGTCAAACTATACATATTTTGTGGTCTTAATCATTTGTCCACATACGCTGGACAAACTAAAAAGCATTATCGTGAATAATAAGTCTGAAAGCCTTATTATTCATGTCCGTCTGGGATTTTCCTTCAAATCCGTAATGTCTCTTAGAAGATGCACATGACTTATCCAACAGCGCAATCCTTGTACTCTTGGCCAGGATGAACCCATGGATTTGAGTTGATCTTACTGTAAGGCAGCGAGATACATCACAGCCTGAAATATGATTCTTTTTTCGTTCACTCAAATTCTGAGGCAGTGTCCATTTTTCCTTAGCAAAATTGTTATTATGATAGCAAAAATGTTAGCTAGGGACGTACAGAATTGTTAAGCTGTTGATAGCGAAAAAAAAGAGAGAGAAATTTTGAAGTGCAATAAACTCTTTTTTTGTCTTTTAGAAAAGTATCGAAAATAAGACGGCCGTTACCGGAAAAAAGAAACCTGTCGTTGAAGATCGCAAATTTCAGAAGCAGACTCAGAAAAAAGTTGATGATGAAGAGCTTTTGAAACAAACTTCATTAGTTAGTGATGCAAATAATACAGCAAAATGGGCCGGATGCCAATGGCGGTAAGCATGAATTTCTACTTCAAAATCAAAGGACTGAAGTTCCTAGTGCAGCTAGCAGGTCATATAAATCTTATCAATGATAATTATTGTTATGTCTTCATTTATATGGTGTCTATAACATTTAACATGTTAATTATTAATATATATTTTTTGTCAGTAAGAATAAGTATTAGCTAAGAGTAATTTGGTTTCTAAAATTAATAATTATAGATTAACTCTGATTAGATCAGAATTTCAACTATTGTATTAAAATACTCAGATAGACTGTCTAACAAGATTAATAAATAATGTCAAATCTATTTAAGCTAAAGAATAAATTTTTAATCGTCAGCTGAATGACTATATGTATTACTTGTTCTTTATAAATAACTGTTAACAGCTATGTTACCGATAGGTGCGTTAAAATTACAACCAGAAGATCATCTGAGGGTTTGAGAAAAGCATTTTGAAATTTCAGAAAATCGCAAGATAGTCCTTATTGCCACATATTATTAATTTTGGCATATATTCTTGCGCATGATGTCCGCTGTGTGCGCATTTTCTGATCATAGTCTATGGATAGTCATGGGCACTGGTGATATATGAAAGCTTAATTTAACAAATTCCAAGGGCAAGAAATCCTATGGTGTAAAATCTGAAGGACGAAGTAGCTCAGAGACAAGTTCGTTGTCTCCATTTGCAACACATCTGTTTTGGAACTTTCAAGAACACAATTAAAATAACTTGCAAATTCTTGCAAAAATGTTGAGAAGCTCCGTCGATTTTAGAAAATAATCTCGGCAATTATTATTCAATTACCGTTACAGCCAATTTTTCCTCCATAGCTAAAAAAAAAGAACTGTTAGACATGCTAACCTCAAGGAAGGGGAAAAAATAACTTTTCGTGGGATTTGTACTGATTTTTGGAGAGTCACGCTGCTACTCTTTTAAAACACGCTGCTACTCTTTTATTTAAAGATCATCATTTTTTACTTTACCGATGTCCAAAATACACGACTGAAAAAAAAAATGAAAATATTTCTGTCTGCTTTGACAAAACTAAGTCCATATTTTAATGTAACTTTGCTGGTATCATTGTTTAGCCATGTTTTATTTTTATGCCTCACGTTTTCTATTCTCTCAAAGTTTACTTTTGTGTATAGAAAAGATAAGAGAGTTTATTCGGTTGTTGTAACTCAGCTCTTAGTAAATTTTATTTTGAATTACATAAAATGTGATTCCTAAAGCTAAAAACGAGCTCAAAATTATCCTTTTCAGCTTCTGATCGAGACAAATGTGCAAAAAATTTAGTTGCTTACTAAATAGACACCATGTCACTATAATCCGAATCAAAATGATTTTTTAATCATATGACCCTTTCTTTTTTACTTTTTCAAAGGATCTAATATTACTTTCTAGAAAAAAAATGTTAGTGTTTTTTAACTAGATATTTTTTATTACACATATACATGAGATTACATATAAAAAACAGCTGATTGAAAATAAAATAAATAACGAATGTCAGTACTTCGAAAATAGCAGTAAAAACTAATATCATGATGTTAAAAATGATGTTCTGTGTAACTACACTATTGCCATTTCTCGTTTTAAATCTGGCTGCTCTGAAACAAACTACAACTTCTCCCTGGCATTTTTTTCCCTTTTATTTTTTTGCTAATTTGGTCTAGATGTTCTTCAGGCAAACAGTTTCCGTGTTACTTATATCTGCGCTTTATCGTCATTTTAAAATTAAAGAAATATTTCGTAGTAAAACGATTATTTATTCAGCTTTTCTCTAACAAAACGAACTAACGAAATATTCGTATAGCAATTCAAATTTTCCCAAGCTTACAGAAGTCAAATTAAACAAAGTTTCTTCATGTTACGAGTTTAAGTGAAACTTCGATATTTCAATTGTAAGGTTCCAAGGTGCCAGTTGAGAATGCATTAGAATGAAATTCAGTTATTTTTAAATCTACCCTAAAAAAAAAGTTCTCTAATAACATTTCAACCACTGACGGAAATGTTTCACTGTATATAATCAGACAATATGTGTAAAAGAATGAATTGTGAGTTTAATTTCAAGAGTAAATTTTCAGTTTAATTTCAAATGCTCGGTCTTCTTTGAAGTAAATAATTTATTAAAATCATTTAGCTTTAAACCTGAATGATTAAGTATTTATGTAAGCAGTCATTTGTTCTAAAAATCCTTCCACTAGTTCTCATTTTAAAATTCACCATTGCATACACTCACACTTTTTTGTCGTTTGGTTATAATGTAAGGAGTTTTCACTCTGCTTGTCGCGTGCCATCGTGGTGTAATTAGATGCAAATCCAGCCAGCAGTCGGAACATCCGGAATTCAACTTTTACCAGGCGACTGGATCTCAAGGCTTTCCAGTCGCCCTTTTAATTACAAAAGGATCAAGGATTTTTCTCTTCCCTTTCTACGTGCTTTGCGACTTAATTGGAAGCAGGTCCATCTAACTATCGGGGGTGGTACGGAATTCAACTCCAGGGAATTCCTTCCTTATTTTTGTTTCCTGCTCCGATAAATAGCTAATTGCTCTTCAAGTGGTGCCCGAATTTAAATGTGGTAAGCAGCAATTCGGCACTAGCTTGATTTGGGGACTGTGTCCCCTCCTCAAAAATCGCCCTTTAAGTGCGAAAGACTTTAAGGAATTTTCTCCCTACTTAGCTGTGTGTCTTCCTGGAAGTACGTCCCGCTAGCAATAGAAAGGTCCGGAGTTCAAATATCCGCTAAAACATTGTTGATTTTTCATTTTTCCTGTTCTAAAGTAAATGACTGTACAGTGCGAGCAATATAAAAGAATATGAGGACCGGTTAGATGCGCCTGATCCAATAACTGAAATTTGTGCAACTTCATGGTGTTAGAAGAATGTTGCCAGGTTACGATTTGAAATGAATTGTAAATGTGTTTTTTTTTTATCGGTTTGGCAAGAAAGTAATTTTGGTTCCTTCGTGTGCATAAAACTCAATTTTTTTTACCATGTGAAAACTGAGTTTAAATCAGTCAAATATCTTCCATTATATTCGATGACCTTTTGCCATCTATCTGGTAACTTCATGATTCCGCGTTCGTAGAAATTCTAGTTTTTATCAGCAAAAACCTCAACCAAGTGCGATGTTAGGTCATCCTGATTACTGAAATTTTTACCATTTAAGAAGTTTTGTAAACTTGGAAATGAATGAGAACCCGATGATGCAAGATCGGGGGCTATATGGAAGATGCGACATCATTTCCTAGCCAAGCCCCAATAATTTCGTACTTATTGCTTAATATGTGTGAGCCCTCGCATTGTCGTAGTAGAACACGGCTTCTTTGCAATTTGCCAATTCTTGGTCCTTTTCTCTTTGATTGCTTCGTCCAGTTTCATAAGTTATCAGCAGTAAACATCTGAGTCCATCGTTTGGTCGTTTGGAAGCAACTGAAAATACACACCACCATTGTAATCCCACCAAATTGATAGCATGATTTTTTCTGACGCAAATTAGCTTTCATTATGATTTGTGCTGATTGCCTTTGATTGGACCATAATCTTTTTCGATTAATATTATATTAGACGATCCATTTTTCATTCCCAATGATAATGCCTTTCAAAAACGGGCCGATTGAGTTACGTTTGAAATGGGTAACGAAAGTTACGCACTCAGTCATTGTGTTAAATGAACTTCTTTCAATTCATGCGGAACCAAAATATCGAGCTTCTTAACGAGTCCAATATATCTTATTATGATTACGTGATTTTTAATTATTGTGTGTGATGCATTTAATCTTTTTGCAAACTTTCTAACAGTTAAATGACGATTCGATTCGATTATGGCTTTAATTTTGTCATCAACATCTTCAGGAAGTCATCCAAAATGTTCGTCACCTTCAAGTGAAAATTCTCCAAAATGAAATTTATTAAACCAAACCTGACGCATGCATTCTGTTAACCCTTTGCGGCACAGTGTGTCCGTTCTGGACACACCTAAAAATTTCCTTCTGTACACACACAGAAAAATTGAATGAAAAAGGATTTATAGGTTACTCTGAACCTTCTTTATTTATAGTAAATGGCAGCTCAACACAAACCAGTCTATATATTTTAGCCATGTTTAGTTTTTTAAGACCCTCATTTTTCAAAGAAATCTTCCAGATTTTTTTAGGGTATAAAAGAAATTGTTTGAAAAGAAATTTCTATGTTATTTTTTTGGCTGTATGCTAATCTCCTTATTCTATATTAGTTTTAAATTTTTACCTTGAAATCTTGCCGAAAATCAAACGGCGAGCCCTAGGTGTGCCCAGACCGGGCTCACTGATAATCTAGGACAACTGAGAGTCTGTATTCTTTGCTTCTCCGCATCTCCTCGATCAGTTCATTAACAACAATGCTCGTTTCAGCATTCTTTTCGAAGCTCTATTCAATCAGTGTGCCACTTTGGGCACACCCACAGAATTAAACGAGAAGTGCTGTCTTCACAAAATTTTACTTGTGTACTTCTAGGCCTAATTAGACTGCCTACTTTTTTTTTTTTTTTTTTTTTTTTTTTTTTTCAAAACTCTAACTTTAAAAGGTAGCGTGCCGGAAAGGGTTATGCAATCAATACCATAAACTTCACAGATCTCTTTCTGAGCCTCAGCCGTTTTCTTGCCGTTATGAAAATAAAAAATAAAATGTGTCAAAACTGTTTATTTTTACACCCCATGTTAAAACTGACCGTAAAGTAACTGTTGTAAACAAAAATACACGGAATTTGTTTCTTTAGCAACTTAAAAGTGTCAGCTACCAATCTCAAATGAAAAAAATTATAAGATTGACACAAGAATAACAAAACGGACATAACGTTATCTGTTTGTGCAAACCGAAATTACTTTCTTGCCAAACCAATACATGTGAGTATTACATAGTGATAAGCTACAAATTTGAAATATACTACAGCCATTTCCATAATTTGTAGAGCTCTCTTTAGGATATCTTAAGAATAGCTTAAGAATAAACTAAATATGCCTTGTAGAAATATTTAAGATCTTTACGAATGGTCTTATATCAAACAAAAATCTGAACGATACCGTGGGGATGTATGAAACGTCAGAGAATGAACACTTTGAATAATACCTAAAATAAGGCAATCGCGATGAAATGCATTCAGAGTACACATAATCAAATATTAGTGTAACAAACTGTGAGTAGATAATATGTAAGTACTAAATAAAAATGATAATAATAAACAAAATCTGAAAGCGTTAAGATTTTATATTACGCCCAAAGGCGCATTTTTTAACGTTTTGTGTATTACCTTTATTTATTAAATATCACGTTCTTCGCATTTAAACAATCAAATTTCATTCAACAGCAATATCTCAAAATAATTTTAAAAGAGCATATGTTTAGAATTTCCGATACGCAGCCTCGCGCGTTGAAGACAAATTTTTTTTTTTTTTTTTTTTGTGGTGTGTGTGTGTGTGTGTGTCTACAGTGTTGCCATTACTCGCTTTGAAATCGTTGAGTTTGTTAACCAAAAATTCGTCAAAAGTTTTACAAAATATGAAACAGATAATAAAACAAATTCCAAATTCCAAATTTAGGCTTCCAGATGCCATATTCAAGTGAAGGACTATGTTATTCAAAATTTGATGGCTCTAGGTACCGTTGTTTTTTCACAGTGCGAGAAGCATACTTATATTCATGCAGATTTTTCATTATTTAATTTCTTTACATACAATGCCGGACTGTAATATTTGGTGCCAACAATTAGAAAAGTTAAATGCTGTGTATAGTCAACCAACGCAAAATACCGAAACGAAATTAGTAGCCTTTCTGGGTAAATAGCCCCTTTGGGCTAAATATTTATCTAAATTAAAGATATCGTGCAACATAAGAGTTCAATAGTCATATTTGCAGTCAACATTTCCTAAAAAACCGACCAGTTTCTTTTCATAAATGTAAACATGACAGCTTTCGAACTCATTTAAAGATCTGAAAATGTAAGGATTATGATTTTCTTGTTCATGTTGATATTATTGCATTATAATAGTATACACATTTATTTCCTGTTCTCAGAAGAGATCTGGAATACGCAGCAAAAGGTGGAACTTGTCCCTGGGCCGAGAAATTTGAACACACCGTGAAAAATATGAAACCTTTCCCCTCAAATGAAATAGCAGACGCCGAAATGAAAAAGACATTAGAAGATTTATATGGCAAAGCGTGGTATGTATGCACTGAACCAGAAATATGCTATCGCAGACAAATTAATTTGTATAGTGTAAATTGTATTTAAATGTTGTTTAAATATTTAATTATGTTACTAGTACGATTCATAAGTAATTTCTTTTTCCCAAGTAAGAAAATGTTTGATTTTTCGAGGAAAAAAATAATAATTTCATAATTCCTCAAAAAGGGAGATCACTTCAATGAAACTAAGCTTTATTATTCCTAATTTATGTTTGTAGAAAACTTATATCTTCTATCAACATAAATTTCAAATTGCATGTCTTCTGTGTCATTAAGCCAATCCAGAATGATACAGTTACTTTCTTTTCCCAGAAATTAATGTTTAGTTTATGTAAATAAAGACAGCTCGTATCCCAGTCCACCAGTTGCCATTTGTGAATGTTTGTGCCTGCGTGAAATGGTCGCATTTAAAATCTACAGATATAAAAATCCTGTCAATGCACTGTGGACTGAAAAATATTGATGTAAAATAAATTAAGAGAATTTGCATATTTTATCGAATTGCATGAAAAGAACTGAACTGAAGAAAAAACCACTGCTTCTAGATAAAAATGCAAATCTTGTACGGCAAATACGTAAGCGCACACTGTGTAGGCGGAGCCAGCAGATAGCGTTTTATAAGCTATTATATTAAGCTTTATAAGCTTTATAAGCAGATAGCGCTTTATAAGCTTTATAAGCAGCAGGCTTTATAAGCGCGTGGAGGGTAAGACGAATTACTTTCGCTAGCACACCTCGGCGAATTTCTTGGTGTTATCTTGCAGCAATTGGTTAAATTCACATCGTAACAGTACAAATGCGTAACCACGAACTTTTAGATGATGGAATGAGGTGGCGAATTGTGGAAAGACTAGAGGCAGGCCAGTTTCAAATCCAAGATATGCAGAGATTTAAATTTAACGCCCAGCGTTGTTTGCCAGAAGACCGGCCGTTTGCGTCCTGCTTACGTCTATGGACAGGAGAATTAGCCTCGTGCAGGTAGCATAGTGATTGGAGTACGGAGCAATGGGCAACCGTTCTGTTCACCGACGAATCCTGTTCTAGACTAAACACCGATTCTCGCCGTACTTTTACATGGAGAGAGCCAGGGACCCTCTACCTACTCTCCAATGTCCGCGAAATCAACAATTATGGCGGCGACGATGTAATGATCAGGGAAGGAAGCATGTTGGATGGCCGCACACCTCTCCACGTCTTTGACAAAGGCTCTGTGAATGTTCATCTTACAAGACTATAACACGAGGCCACATAGAGCTCTTCTGGTCAACGAATTTCTCGAGAGTGAGGATATTCGCCGGATGGATTGGCCAGACAGGTCTCCAGGCCTCAACCCTATAGATCATGTCTGGGACGCTCTGGGGAGGGCAATTGCAACTCGCAACCCCCCTCCGAGAGCCATCCAGGAACTGAAAACAGCATTGCTGAATGAGTGGGAGCAATTGCCACAGGCACTGATAAAATGCCTCATTTCCAGTTTTATTTCAACTTATTATGCCTTATTTCAACCTATGTTCGCACCAAATTTTATTAAAATCTGTCCGGTAGTTCTGGAGATCGTAGATCAAATATGAAAATTATCTTCATTTATTTCACCAATGTAGAATCCTCAGCTTACATTCGAGTTACTCTCGAAGAAAATTAGGATGATATTTGGTTAATCAATTGCGCCAATACCGCTACCCAAAAATTCGGAATGAAACTTAGTCAGATAGCTCTCATGGGATTTGCCTAAATTAATTTATACTAAGCCTTTTAAATCTACCTTAAGTGATTTAAAACTGGTAAAAGGTAATCCTCTGAAGTTTAATACTATATTAAATAAACTGGATGTAAATAATGTAATGCATGCTATTAGAGTCAACCACAATTATCAAATATACCTTGCAGTTCTTTTAAACTATCACTGTAATCCAATTTGATTCATTTATTACATTTGAATACATTGTTTGACATTAATATTTGAAAACTTTGTAATGTTTCTAACTACTTTGTCTATGCTTAACTTAGTAGAAACATTGTTGAACTTATCGCTGAGTCTAAATGTGTAAACGACAAAGTCCAGAGAAGAGCTAAAGTCACCCTTTACAATCTCAGATTAAGAATACAGATGGTCCCTTTCTCTGGCTTTCGGAAAAGCTTTCTCTTGAGGCTTTAATCAAGATAATAATAAAAGAAATTAATATAATGCTAAACTAAACTGAACTTAGCCGAAGCTATACACAACTACGTAGTTGGCTCTTAATTAAATTGATCGTCGAATATCAGCAGACACGTTCAATACAGCGAGCGTAGTTAGTTTTAAAAAACGAAGCAGCCTGAAAGCAAACACTAGCCACTAAGGACTCCTAAGCTCTTCCTTCAGAAGTAAGCGAAACCTTCCTTTAAATACTCTTTCTACCTTATTTACATGTACCCGGATACTAAAAACTTATTCTGGCAGGAAATAACTGATGGGAAACAGGAATAGACAGTAAAACATGTTTAAAAATTAAAATAACTACTAGAAACTTAAAATAACCTCCACAATATGATTTACTAACTTTGCATAATTAGGTATTTGCAAATATTTCTTACCAGATAATAAATTCAAAAACTGAAAAAGTAATCATATTTACGAATGATGCATTTACGGTTTTGTAATACAGTTTCAAAAAGCATTTTTTAAGTTGATGATATGATGTGCTTTGTAGCTGAGGGATAACAAACATTTTCTTTATGTAATTATTCATAAAAAATTAAACTTCAGCTTTTAGTTTAATAAATTCGAACTCAAACCATTATGCGAAGAAACTGTGCTTTCAGTGTTCGCATGAGTTATATTAAGGTATAATAATTATTTAATACTTAAATTTATTGAAAACAATAAACTCCTGTAAATGCCTGTATCCATTTAGAGACCGAATGCTATATTTGAAAAAATTGGTTACAATTGTGATGTATTTTAATTTAAAAACATATGACACTGAACAACTTGTACGTGCTGAGGAATCTCTAAGTTGTAATATTATCCAATGTATCCACGTGGGGGAATTTTCCTCAAACACTACTGAGTTAATTCTACAGGGAATAAGTTGCATGTGTCTCTCTTTTATCTTTCTCACAGCTTCTACTCGAAAAATTTCGTTCCAGTTTATTGGTGTCTGGAGAAACAAAACCCATCTTTCTCAAGTCCGTTTGATTTTCTCATCTCATTTTAAATTCGATTATTTTCTTGGTTATTTGAAGAATGTGACTGAAAAAAGAAATTGAAAGTATATTTGTCCCCTGAACCAGTCTTTTAAGGAAAGTCTTATAAATACATTGGGTTAAGCATATTTTCAAGTTATTTAAAATACTCATTTCAATAAATGGCACCATTCAACATTTATCTGGCTTTGAAAACGATTCAATGGTTTCAGGTTCTTTTTATTCGATTTCTTTTCACTAAATGACAATATTTTGCAAAATTACATTCCAAAGAATATTTTAGCTGTATTTAGGAGCAAAATTGTTTTCTAAGGATTAGAAACAATACTTTCTCCTGAAGTTGGTATCCTTCGTCCTTGGAAATTCCTTGAATTTTTAATTTTCTGGAGTGAACAATGAAACGAAATTGAATTTTATCATAAGTTAATGTTTAATATTGCTTTTGATATCATCTGACTGCAGATTTTCTTAATATTCAACTTTGTTATTTTCATAGCACATTTCTAGTCTTCTAAAGAAGGATTTTTGCTCATGTCTTTTCAACAAACTGAATTTCTTAGAACATGAATTTGCCTTTTTATCCAAAACGTGAATTAAATTAAAACAATGATCATAGAGTAATTAGAGATAGGACTAGCTTGAAACTTTAATAACGTATAGCAGTTTCGAAACACTTTCATTATCTTCATATAGAATGTTAGATGTTTCATTACGAAACATGTTTTAATAACTGTTCGAGAATACATATCTGTCTGGAATAGCGTAAGGTAATCTGAAAGATTAAACCAACTTCCATCTGTGTCTGCAGGATGGAAAAAAGGGCATATTGTGATCCAATTTTCTCATGTAATCCTTTATTGAATTTAAGCTAATCTCATTTACTTCTGCTGGCTGATTGTTTTGCTAAGTGATTTGCATCTTTTCCTATAGTAGTCATTTACTCCACGAATAAGATTTCCTCAGTTTAGAAAGTTTAATTTAATGCATGACTTTATTTCGTTATTGAAAGTAGAATCGAAGTGTATGACTTGAGGTGGAAAAAAACAAAATCCTGTAGAAAAACTCCAGATTAATTATTTTTAATTTATTAAGCTGTACCAAATATCACTAAATTTTTTAATTCTCCAAGAAATGAAACAGCATACTCAGATTTAAAAGCTTTATTTCGGTTATTCAGTACCTGCATTATATTATAGAGCCATTAGATTTGAGACGCAGGAGATGTGAAAAATGTGCACTGCCCACACTGGAGCTTCTGGTCTTACTCGAGCCTAGACCTCTCGAATACGTGTCGAGTGTGCTACCGTTGCACCATAAAGGCAAAGCTGAAGGAGAGAGTTAATGTATTTATTATAGGGAGACACCCTATAATAAATACATTAACAATAGTTGGAAGTCTCTGTCGTTCCAGTTCTGTGTTAAAATTCCCAAGTTACTTAATAATGAGTTTTCCCTCCTCTCATTTTAGAAAATGACTTCCTTGCCCACAGAACATTCAATATAGGATGGGATACCAACGTTTCCTTACATAGAAATTTAAGCAGTCGTGTTACTTCGTGCAACGAAGGCACTGAATAACTTACTAATTAAACCAATGTTTCAGCTTTACAATTTTTCTTAAGGTTACAATCATCTAAAAACTATCTCAAGGTCCAAGAGCTGCGTCAATCGATGTCTCCGACACTCTAGACTAGCGGTTCTCAACCTTTTGATAAACGCTTCCCAGCTAAACAAAAACTGGAAAACATTAATACCACCAGTACATTTTACAATGATTATTTTCAATTTCTCGGCAGAAATATTTAAAAAAAAAAAAGAGTTTGAAAACTTTCAAATTTTATATTACGCCCAAAGGGGCTCCTTATTAACGTTTTGTGTGCTACCTTTATTTATTAAATATCATGCTCTTCGTACTTAAACCATAAAGTTCAATTCAACAGTAATATCCCAAAATAGTTTAAAAAGAGCATATCTTTAGAATTTCCGATACACAGCCTCGCGCGCTGGAGGTAAAACTTTTTTTGTTTCGTGCAGTATTGCCATTGCTTGCTTTGAAAGGAGAAACGATTGATAAATTGATAAGAAATTTATAAAGAAATATAACGTCGATAGACTAGCTAAAAGTTCTATTATGTCTTGTTAGGACATTAATAGATCTTTAGCTAGTCGTCGTTTCATCTAATGCTCTGGCTCTCCTGCTATGTGGAAAAAGTGAAAGTCTCTTGGGGCGAAGTACGGAATGTTCAATACATAGTTGTAATTTTCGACGAGCTTCAACTTGAATTGACAAAAAATGGTGTGATGTACTCTTAGATGAATCTAAGATCATGCAATGTGTGGTTACGTCAAAAGTCACTTTTGAGTAATAATTAGATCATGAGGGGAAAATATTGAGGAAAAGAGGAAACATCAGAAGAAGGAAGCTGATGTGGGCTGGTGGGTGTTCTAAAAGAGTTTTTAAGCGATAAAAAAACGATGATAAAAGAAGATGGTTACGGTGGACAGATACATAAGCAGTTCTATAAATGCTCAAGTTTAATGACGAGATGAAGGAAGTTCTTCTGATGATGGATTGTAGTTAGATTGATCATCGGCTGAATTAAATGACTATATAAGTGTGCGAATGAAGAAAAAGACTGTAAAGTGCCAATTTCAGGCCTAGAAGTCTCGGTTACAGACATTGAATGTTCATGTGCTGCGTTCTTACCTACTGTAACTTAGGTACAGACTGTTTTCAGTAGCTTTTACGTGATTCTGTCATCGATTGTTCAGATCTCCAATGAATTACTGGTGTCGGTGGCCAACGCTTGGGATCCCAAGATCACTGAGGCTCGTTCAGCTGGATTTCAGGGCCAATGAGTCCTTGGGATTCAACTCCTTCGTATAAGCACATCTCGGCCCATAACGAATCTTAAATCCAAGGATTTTAAACATGGCTCTGATGAGTCTCTTAATGATTGCCACAAGTACTCTTCACCCTTTCCTAAACTGTATATAATGAATTGACAGTTAGATGAACTCGAGTATATATCTAAAATGCTTGTAGTTTATGAAATTGTGCTTTATACCATGAGTAGTGTAAGTTCTTTATTTAAAGAAGGTCTTTAATTTGTAGTCTAATGTTCTTCTTAAGAATTTTGTATCGCATCAAAAATTGGTATATCTATATTCATGTAAAATTTAGAAAAATATTAAAAATAAATATGTCTAATTTATATGCTTATGTTGTTTATCTGTCTACCGTAATTACTTATACAAGAAATCAAAATTGTTATAAACCTGAACTTGGCCTGAGGTGATTGTTGTTGCATTTGATTAGATTAAAAGGATCTAGACAAATCAAAATCCAAAATTGTTTTATCAGTTTGAACCTGATTACTTGACTACAAATAAGATATATTGCTCGAATTCTAAATAGACTATAAAATATAGAGTATATAGAGAGTGTTTGCCCATTTTATAACGATTTCGAAGCCGTTTAATTAATGATTAAGAGTGTTTCTTCAAATGTTCGATCTGATAGCCCTTTTTTCTAAACAATAAGTCGTAAGCGATTTTCATGACAGAAGGGCTTTTCTTAAAATTTTCAGGGATATTGATTTCCATTTCTCTTCCATTGCTTTCCATACTCTGTCAATGGTGATGGGTTACAAATGGCTCAGAAAAATCTCTTTTCAATGGAATGTAGTATACTTTACACTGTAAGACTTGTTGCTTTGTCTTGATGAAGTTTCAGTCTTTGAAATTCTCTGGAATAAAGAAATAAAATTATATCGGACGTAAAACTTTCTTTTCTAGCACGTTGATTTTAACATTTTTTCCACTATTTTTATTTTTAATTTCCCTTCTGACAATCATAAACTCCTTCCTGAAGCTTTCTTTACATTAATGTAACAAGGATTTGCACTTTTTTTCTCTTCGTTTTTCTTAATATATAGACCATTTTTATTAACGACTGTCTTTACTGTCATCTAAGTAAACTCACGCTTCATCAAATGTCGCAATACATTTCCATATATCTCCAGCTAACTGGTTTGCATATAGGCTTCTACAAATCATTCTCCGTCGAGCCACAGGCCTCGACAAAAGCTGGTTAACATTATGCGTTTTAGCTTTTTAAGTTGTAAATCTTGCTTTGTTATATAATTTAATGTTGTTACAGATGTGTTTAGAGATTTTACAACTGATTTCTGCATCGGCAGATTTTCTCTTGTTACTAAAGATTTAACTTTAGAAACATTCGAAACGGTGTAAGATATATCTTTACTTGTCCACATACACTAACTTAAATCCTACAATGAACCTGACGAATTCTCGCACAGGCGTGAATTAAATACCAGCGCGGAAGAATGGTGCAAATTTACCCTTTATTGAATCAAACTAATTTAACAGAAAGCACGGACTTCGTGCGTTACAAAACACCGTTCACTTGCGGCGGTAACTAAACGTAGACTGTAATATAAATCCTAATCTGAAAAATAAACGAGTGCAAGAAAGCACTTCAAAATTACGCCTAGAGATGGACTCGCAGAAATCAAACCGGCGTGATACTAAACTGATACGTCAAGAGGCTTACTAGCGTGACGGCGAAATAACAACGAAACGTGCGCTAGGCTAGCGAAACACGCTCTGAATAAACTGAGATAATCACACGTTAAAATAGCACTTCACTTAACTTTAAATTTACATCCTGGCGAGAGAATGTGAGGAGAAGTTTGAGAAGTTGAGAACAGGAAAACTTAAAATAAATTTGTTATGCAAATGGAGAAAAACCCTGCAACGGTACGTAGCTTTTTTGGGTATTTCTTTCAAATCTTCTCTCTATGTAGAAGTAAATGATTTACGGCGTTTCCCTCTCCGATTAATAATGTTGCTTACTTATAAGTTTTAATGCTATGCATTTCAGAACGTTTTCGAATTATAGAATAGGAATATGTATCTTCGGAAAGCGCAAAAGCATAGCCTTTAATCTACAATTTGCAGTACACTCTCAGTGCTCACTTAATTTGTGAAGTAAAATTTTAATTACCTCTAACCTAATCAGGAATTGAATATAAAGGAAGCTCAGCATCAATACCATTTAATTTCTTATTAAATTTTTAACTTTTTATCCCTTTGTTTCAGGAAAGAGAAAGAAGAAGCCATGCTGATAGTGATACGCTTAGCTAAACACCATCCCGAGATCGTACTGGACAATGCATCAAAAATTATCGTTGCAGTCTGCAACGAAATTAAAAATTTTAGACAATCAGTTGCTGGAAAAGCTATTCTAACATCTGGATATCTTTACTCGATTATGGGAAAACATATTGAAAATGTAAGTAACTGTAATAGTAACATTACTGTAAGTAATTGTAATAGTAATAACATTTTATACGTAAAAATATTTCAACATTCTTTCAGAGAACTTTATGTATGCATATATAGAATATGTATTATAGTATATATAGAATATGTGCGCATTTCGTTTTTAATCTTTTCGCTAATAAAGTGATTTTAGAGTAATTGTCTTTTCTAGATTTCTAAGACCCACTTCATTAGATCACTTGTGAAGAAAGTGTCAAATATATAACGCGTAATCAGACTCTCATAACGTTTTTCTTATCCAAATTTCTGTATTTCCGCAATGTCGTCTGTATACACTCCCCTACCATTTTATTTCAAGGCAAACATTTCGACAAATCCATACGTTCAAAGAAAGTGAAACGTGATAATTAACTTAAAGTCTGCGAAAAGTAATCTTAGATTGGTGAAAATTTTGAATAACACGCTATCGATTTCATGGACCATGAGTCATTTGTCCATCTTTTTCTGAAATAAAAACAATTTTGTGAAACTTTAGCAAATTCCTAAAGTTTTTTGCTGTTAAGGAAGAGGAATTTATATATGGTCACCATCGAAATCAATATAAAGTCTTATTTAAAAATCTATTCCAATGTAATTTTTTTTTTTTTTTTTTTTTAATTTTTCATTAACCCAAAGAGGCAGTTTGCACAGAAGGGCTATTAACTTCCTTTTGCATTTTGCGTCATCTACTATATAAAACGGCGTTTAACTTTTCAAATTGTTGCCAGAGCCCTGCAGAATATTTAAAGAAATAAAATAATAAAGAATCTGCATGTTTATTGCAATGTGATAAATTAACGATACCTAGAACCAACAAATTTTGAATAACGTAGTCCTCCATTCGAATATGGGCATCTGGAAGCCCAAATTTGAAATGTGGAATTAACAAACTCAACGATTTCAAAGCGAGCAATGACAATACGGAAAAAAATTATCTCCAGACTGTGCATCGGAAATTCTAAAGATATGCTCTTATTAAATATTTTGTGATATTGCTGTTCAAATTAATTTTGTGGTTCAAATGCGAAGAATATGGTATTTAATAAATAAAGGCAACACACGAAACTTTAAAAAAAACGCCCTTTTGGGCGTAATATAAAATCTGAAAACTTTCAGATTTTTTTTTTTCTTTTTAATTATTTATTTTTTTATTGTCTTATTTTGAGTTTTTCAGTGGCGTTTTCCTTTTCCATTTAACTTGTTTGTGAAATTTCTTGTAAAATCATAATTTCTTTCTCATATATAGAGAAGCTTTTCATGGCGAAACCTTTGAAATGTTCTGAGCTGCAGTTTTTATGACCTACTTTCTTACCCAAACTTTTCAGAGTCTGAGGAAAAACAACCTGAAATGCAGAAGACCAGATTTCGCGAAGCGAAAGACATGCTGAAAAATGAAAATGAGGGCTTTAAATTAAAAGGAAAAGTAAATAAATCATTATAATATGTGAGTTAAGTAAAATTATCGGTAAAAAAATTATGAAAAATCTTTTAAACTAAAATTAACAAGTACTATACCATAACTGTTGATTCCACATCTGATATAATAATGCATACTGATTAATTTTAGATCGTAGACAATGTACGATGAGGTTTTTAGCTTCTTACTAGTAATATATTCGCATACTGTTCAATGAAAACAATAATACTGAACGAACTAAATTTGTTAGATATTAATATTTAGGATGCAGAGGTCAAAATTACGTCAAACGTCAACGTAGCAAATGCATCTGGTCAATATAAAGGTTTTGTAAAAGCCAAAATTATAAGTCTTGCGCAATATATTCTATGCCATTTGTGACAAAATTTGCAGAGAAATTGATATGAATTACCCAAAATATCAAGATATTACCTCTTTTTTACAGAATCTGAAGATTTAAGTAATACATCGGATTACATAACTGAAATAAGTTTTATGATATCGATGTTGAAGAATTAGACGATAAGCTGATATAATTTCATCTAATGAAAAGAAAGCAAAATTGGCGGAACCAGAATAATATGTACCAGTTCATAAAAATCGAAAGCACAGTGTCTTCGTTTCCTTATTCTGAAAAAAAAAAAAAAAAAAAAAAAAAAAAAAATAACTATATGTGTGAGTAATACGATAGGAGACAGATCTTTCTCTATTTTAAAACGAATAAAAATTATTCAAAATATTCAGTAGGGCAAGAAAGACGGAGTTCTTTTCAGTGCTTGCTACACATAAAGATACTCTCGAACAGATATATTTCTAATCTATGAAGGATCAGCTTCCTGAAATGAAATCCAAAAGCGAAAAATGTAAATTTTTAAAAGGATGATTAAAATTTATAATTACCCATATTTTTCGTTATACCGAAAATTTCCTACAGCATAGTTATTATTGCACCAATCTTTGCATCCACTATTAGTAACAAAAATTAAGTGACAGTGTTTAAGTTTTCAATATACGCAACTTACACAAATTAGGCCCAAATTTAAATTTTCTATAGAGCTCACTTGCAGTTTTCAGCATTCAGCTGCAAGAAACGGTGTAATTAGTGGCGACATCTATTGGCAGAATGTTATACTATCACTTTTATTTAATTTAAATTTTTAAAAGATATAAATTGCTACTAATAATTTACCTCAGAATCTGATGCTGTAAACTTTAATAAAATTATAAAATTAGAAAAATGTAAAATTTATAATATTTCATCTTTTTTTGCTACCTTTCCGTAAATAAATTAGCAGTGCTAATTAAGTTTTAAGACATATAATATAAAAAGTATACATCGAATACTAAACTCCGGCGTAATTTTGCTACAAACTTAAGATAATGTTATTTCTTCAATCAAAATCGATTTCGTAATTCGCAGCTTAGATGAAGACTAGAAAATAGATTTTGTTATGTGTTTTCTAAGATGAAAATAATGACACCTGTCACTCTGTGAAAGGACTAAAATTTTCCCAATTGTAAACCTGAAAGAAATGATAGAAATCAATCATCAGTGTACTTAATGTAAATTGCTTACGTCAGAGAATTATTTATTATATTATATTAATACTACTGAGATCAAAATAAATAAATAAAAATTAAAAAGAGGACGTCATATACACCGTTTTCATATCCTTTATGTATAAATTCAAACTGTGTTCTAATAAGAACAGTAAAGAAAACATTTTATTTTTTTCTCCACACTGAAATTATGGCACGGACTCCAAAGATATTTACAAAAAGTTTGGCATCAGCATTTTTAGAGCCAGAGGCGACCAGTGCATTTGCCGCTTTGTATAAGTTTACCATATTAGCAAATCAAATTATACTTTTATTTAGTTTATATCTGTGAATAACGCTTGCAACTTAACTGGATGCCTATGCCGCCTATGGGGATCGTTTGCGAAAGATTAATCTCAAATCAAACTTCAAAATAATGCCGCGAGATGACAGCACTAATTTCAAGCTACAAGAAAAAAGTCTGATCTGAACACCATATGGCTCAACCATATGAACACTTCAAGACAAACTGATAATGACATCAAAAATTGCAAATTTTGAAATTAAATATCCTCGTCAGTTTTTGCCGTAAAACTTAATATAATTAATAAAGTAATATAATCAGTTTTTGTCGTAAAACTAAATATAAGTATACGAGCCGAGAAACCGCGTTATAAGTTAGATATCGTTATTTTTCGAAAGTTAATTTCTTTAAAATTTGACATCGCCGAAATATGATAATTTTCATCATTTAAAACACTTCTGTAATTGGAAGCATATAACTACAACCAAAGATTTCGAAAATAAAGGCCTGGAAAGGACTTTCAAGCCAGGTAAGAGAGTGTATATGTAATTAAAGCACAGTTTTAAAATCCCTAATGGTAAGAACACTGATATATAGATGCGCAGAAATACTGATGTTCGTAGATACTTGATGGTTAAAGCATTGACCCATGTTAAAGAGGAACGAGTCGAGCCAGATTAAATTCATTTTCCTTTTATTTAAATTCATATTTGTGGTCACATAGCACTCCAGTCGTGCCTATTTCCAGAACAATTTTGATACTATTGCGATAGAAGCGAACATAGATGATTGCAGCAGCGTCTTAACAGGATGAAAGCGTAAGCGAAAAGGTAAATAGTGTGGCAGTAGTAATACAATTGAAGAAGGGATGATGTCAAAATGTTTTGGTTTACAATTACTTTGATTGGGCAAGAGGTATCCGCATTAAACGTTACATAAGATTGCATGATTAATTTGAATGACGCAGTTTAGACTTATGGCGCTATTAAGATAGTTACAGTCGAAAACATCGCGCCTTAAACATCGCGGGAGAAAACGTCGCGGAGAATACAACGCAAGGCGAAAACTTCGTGGGAGAAAATAAAACAAAGAGAAAACATCCCAGTTCTAAAACATCGTGGTACAAAATGTCTTCGTCGAAAAGAAAGCGGTTCAAAAACTTCGCAGTTTAAAAACATCGTCATCGAAAATATCGTGGTAAAAAATAAAATATCTACAAATAATTGCATGACAATAACATCGCAGACATGCGTTTTTAAGTCTTTAATAATTATAAATGGATATTCGTATAATGATTTGTGAGCGCAAGATAGAAAGAATGGTAACATTTACTTTCATATTTTTTATTAACTAATAAATTTTAAAAAATGAACAAGAAATTTAAACAAAACAAGAAATAATTTTCACTATAAGAGTATCAGATTAGCAAAAGGGAAGAAAATAAATCTCATAATTAACTTAGCAATTTTTTTCAAAGATAAGGTTATGCAGTTACTTATCTTTCTTTTTAGATTATACTTTTCATGAAATATTACCTGTAAAACTTTATAAAAATATAATTTCTTAATGACCTTTGTTTGTTAACAATGTCAGTTTAAAATCCTATTAGGTCCTATAAGTTGCGTTAGTTTTCTATGCTTAAGTTTCCATATTACATTTTTAGCAAATATTTATCAGTTAATAAAAAATATGAAAGTAAAAATTATCCTTCTTTCCATCTTGCGCTCACAAATCATTATGCGAGTATCCTTTTACAATTATTAAAGCATGTCTGCAATGTTATCGTCATGCGATGATTTGTAGGTACTCTATCTTTTATCACGATATTTTTGACGAGAATGTTTTTAAACTGCAAAGTTTTCGGACCGCTTTATTTTCGACCACTATATTTTAGAAATTCGATGTTTTCTCTTTGCTTTATTTTCTGCCACGATGCTTTGCACCACGATGTTTTCGCCTTGAGTTGTTTTCTCCGCGATGTTTACGGCGGACACAATTAACATAGAGAAGGAGTTTTAAGAAAGAGCTGTTCTCAAATTAAATAAAAAAATAAAAGAGTTTATAGCCAATTAAATTTAGAAGTTTGATTTTATATTTTTTTATCTTACATATATATGTATTCAAATAATGAATTAAAAGGTAAAAATTATGCAAAAAAAACCCTAAAACTTGCGCTGAAGCTGCATAGTTAGAAATAAATATTTATTAATAAGAAAAATAATAAATTACTTCCAAGGAAGAGAAAGAAAAATTGTGATCTTAAATGTTAGTGAAGGAAATATTTTTGAATATTTTCTAAATTCATTAATAAAGTGAACGAACATATCAAAAACGTAAAAAATCAAATAAAAGGCGACAAAAATCAATTATTATCAGTAGCAAGTGCACTGTTTTTGCAGGATGAAAGCCAGAAATTGAAAGTGCTAACATATTAAACCAATGCACAGCTTCTTTATTATAACAAACAAATTAAAAATAACAAATAACGTGTAAATTTTACAGTTAAGTAAAGCATGGTCACAATAAAAGAGAAAATGTTTAAAGGCCTATACTTAGATAAGCATTTCATTAAATCAAATTTATTCTAAATACTCTTTGAAACATTGAGTTTAAATTTCTCAAAGTAAAATAATATTATTAACATTATTAAAAGAATTATTAAAATTATTTCAAGCAGGACAAATCTGGTATTCGAAATTCATAAAATTTATAACTTCACTTCTTTCATTTATGTTTTGGTGGATGTTAGAGATATCCAAAATGATTCGCCATTATGAAGAGAATGAACTAACCTAAATATTCTTGAACTTTTACCTAAATATGCTTTGATAGTAGGATTTTGGTGTTTACAAAACGATAATGCTAGTATAGTATTTCTAAACATATAGCGATTGAAGTAAACAAAATTCCATAAAAGAACAAATTTAAACGTATGGGTTGAGAATTTCACAATAATAGATCATTAGCAGTGAGAGAAAGAAGAGGTAACAAATTAGTTATTACTTCATTCATTCGCGAATGTTAGAACTGTCTCTGTGGAGTAGGAGATGATGAATGTATAAGCTTCAAGAAATGATTAAAAGTATTTTCGTAATGAGTATATCAAGCCAAAAAATTAATATAGTAAAAGATTAAAATTTTCCATTATGTATGAGTTTCCACACTAAAGAAATTGCTTGTTGATAAAAATTAGAAATTCTAATTTTTTTTTTTTTTTTTTCTGAAATGCAAATAGATGGTGCATGACTTAGGAAATGTCTTGTGGAGTAACGAGCCACATTTTTTTAAACGAACGGTACAACTGCCTCATTTTGGATGGGAATAGTTATGATGTATTTTACAGGAACATTTTTAATCTCATCCACAACAAGATGGCCAAAGTAAAATTGGCCCAGGAAATGCATATAATTCTCACACTAAATAACTAAATTTACTCCTGTTAATAAACAGTAGACTGCCTTTCGCTACAGAGTATTTCGTCATCACGTTTCCATTGCTGAAGGTTCTTCAAAGACACTTCCATTCTTAAAACCTTGAGCAAACAGATCAGTACGTGTTTTTCATTAACTGTGCTCAATGATGAGCATGTGTTCTTTTATCGTTAACACCACTTTTATTGTTGCATTCAGCTGATTACTAAAACAACCTTTATTACAGTGTCTAGACACCTCTTTGATGTTTACAGTACATTTTCACAAAATTCCAAAATTTAGAGAAATTACAGAAATTTACTACTAACTTTGTAGGGTTTATTTTTCTAACAGTTATTTTTAAATAAGACAGCTTTCTATTGCTTCGTCAACTTCGTAGGGTTTTACTTTATTTTTCTAACAGTTACTTTTAGTTAAGACAACTTTCCATTATTTCCTCAACATTTGTAGGGTTTTACTTTATTTTTTTAACAGTTATTTTTAAGACAGCTTTCCATTACTTCCTCAACTTTGTAGGGTTTTACTTTATTTTTCTAACAGTTATTTTTAGTTAAGACAACTTTCCGTTACTTCCTCATTTTTCTACCTACCCTTTTCTACCTGCCCTTCCTCATTTTTCTACCTGCCCTTTCCTACCAGAATGAGTTTTCAGTTTCAGGCTTTATGCAAAATAGGGAGAAACTACTATTTAAGCTGAACTCTGAGGTACTTCAGTTAGTTAGTCAGAGAGCGTTAGAGACAGTGTGCTTTAGCTTTCGACCAAGTTGTCGCTACGAGTTAAAGTTTGGCTAATTTACGGCCATGCTTACTACTAGCCTGTTAGTCTACGCCGGTGATTTTTAGATAAGAGCCAACTGCGCGGTAACAAATCTGTGCAGCTTACATTCAAAAATAATGCAAGGTCAGAAATGTTACATGTGCCTGAAACAGACTAAATATGGCTGGCTTCTGATGCGGGCCAACCGAACACCCAGGGGATACAGAAGTACGGCGGAGCAATGCATGTAAAAGTCACTGACGAAGTTCTGGTGCTCCGTCCACTTTTCTCTGTCCCTGTTTAGTTTTATTTGACCTTAGTTTAGTTTTACATTTTCTATTTTAAGTTCAAGTCAAATGTGTTGGCTCCCTGTACGTCCAAGAGTCTGTAAAGATCTTGATGTCAAATAAAAGGGTATTTTAACTCTTCGTCGGAGTTGTTGTTTACGCACAAGAACTTAGCCAATAGTCACTACATATTTCTATTAAGCTCTATCAGTTATAGAACTTTATTTCATTAATTTAGAAGTCAAACAACAAAAATCAGCGTTATATTTTTCAAATTTTCACACGACTACTTTCGATGGTTCGGTAAAACCATAGAAAACTAGTCCTGTGAAAATTTGAAAATATAATGCTGATTTTTGTTGTTTGACTTCAAAATTAGTACTTGTTCGGCGTGTAATTGTATCATAACTTTATTTCAGTTAGAACATTAAAACTTTTATTCTATATAAATACTAGAGCAGAAAATTCCTTATAGGAATTAATAATTCATAAATTAAATGAAACGCGTTACGAAAAAATCCCTTCTCTACTTCTAGTTATTTTATTTTTAATTTTATATCAAGAGTAAAATAAAAAACGGATGAATGAATTAATATAAATTCTGAAACATAAAAAGGAAGTGTTTAGGAACATTAGCAATAAAATAATAGTTCAACATTAAATTTTTTTCTCCCCATATGACGGAAAAATGTCTAGGAACATGCATAATATAGCGGTAGCACAGGAAAATCAGTTTAAATGGTAGCATATAACCTTGTCATTCCGTGAGAAACTTGCTCGCGATCATCAGACGTTTTATACTCAGAAAGAAGAGATTTCTGTTTTCTTCAATTACTTCTTTGAAGTGGAATTCAAAGAATTGCAATTTAAGACGTAAGGACAAAATTTCATAACTAGACTTCTCTTGCAAATTAGATAAGATTATATTTGCATGCATTAATTTTGTAGATTACAATCTCAAAACAAGGAGTATAAGCAAACAAAATTAATTTACCTTACAAGGTAAAATGACATTCTGTCAGTATAATCCATCTATTCAGTAGCTGAATAAAATTCGGTGCTCAGCCAAGACGATTTTGTTTAATACCAACATTGATTTATCATAATTTTCACAGCATAATCGCAAACGAATCTGCAGCTGGTTGGAATTAGCGTGCCAAATAATGAATCGCGAAATTAGGATTGATGAGGAATTTAGCGAATGAATATCTCTGGCTTATGATTTCGAGTTGTTCAAATATCTTCTATAGTTTACATAATTCCCCTTTCAAATTTCCAGCGTGTGAAAAGGAAAACGAAGAAAGCAAGGATTTTTAACGCAGTGAGCTTCACAATGAGAAAAGGGGGGAGAGCTGACTGTAAATATCAAAATAAAATAAAATTTATAATTTTTTATTCGAACTAAACAATGTGGTTTTTCAGTCTCAGGTTTGTTGAAATAATTTTCCGTTATTATTATACACAAGTATTCGAAGTGTATGAACTTACACGATACAAAATCCTGTGTGATATTAAACCGCGCATTCTGACTTGCAGAAACTGAGAATGGTGGTAGCTGTTCTGTTAGCCAAGTCTGGAAATCGAACCCTTGCCGCATATTTCCGTTTGGTTATTCAGAGCTTGTTCAAGATTGTGAAATACACTGCTCCTCAGAAATGCGCTATGGCTTTCATCAACGAAGGAGGCAAGTAAGTCAATTATCTCCTATATAAGTCGCAGAATTACCGTCTCCAAGAATAAATCTACAGTTTCACGCTGAATGGGATATATGTTCAGGTTTATTGCTACTAAATCATGTGCTTTGCTAAATTGGGTTAAAATATTATAAACGAAATGGACACTTGCGTGCAAAATCACAGTTCAGAATGTCACACTGTTTACGTGTATAGTGTGTATAATGATATGGCAGAATGTCAGCAAGAAATAATAGAACGCATGCCTGCTTAAAACTTAAAATATTGAATTTCATTTTTGAAAAATATTTTACGAACAGCATCCTAATGAATTTGACAAAATCTGCCCACAGCATAAGTGGTCAGTTATGTAAACAATAAACAGTTTGCTGTTTCAGTTTTCGATTAATTTGAAATCTTGGGTACTTTTCCGTTTTGCCGGCGCAGGCGATAAAGTCGCCAATAATGGTATAACCGATGCCAAACGGAATATCCTGGCTGGTAACCTTTTACTCCTCATTCTTAAAACAAGTCGCAGCCATTTCTTATCAGACTGATTGTTTCTTTCGATACTGGCATACAATTGCATAGAATTTTTACCAGATAATTCAATTTTATGTCCTAAGGACTTGAGGTCACATGATGTGAACCTGCGAATCAGTATGTTGTACCATGAAAGCAAAGCAAATTCTTAAATTAATGTCTTTTTACAAATTGATTGTCCTTATTTATTGGCTTTTTACAAAATTTTAAACCGCATTAAAATATTTAGACCTTGAAAATAAAAAATTCTTACAACTAACATTTGTAAACATTTTTCATAGGTATACTGTGTGTTGTCGCCAATAAAGTCTGCTTGGCGAGATTTGCGCTGGCGAAACGGCAAAGTACCAAATCTTGTGACTGACTACATTTAGTAAATGCTATACATATCAAATATCTTTTCTACATTCTTCAAAGAGATTTTACTTTTTAATATTAATATGTATACATATTTCAGAGCAAGATATGATTCAAGTAAATAAATTCTGTAATGCTACATCAAATAGATGCTAATAAGTTTGAAAACAAGACCTCCAAAATTATTAAAATTTAGAGTATGCATAGGCTGGATTATTTTTACTTTATATACTGCCAAATACTATACATTTTGTACATTGTACGCTTCATTTCTAGACATTGTACGCTACATTTTTATACATTGTAAGCTTCACGTCGTGATCAAGAGAAGCTCTTGAATTATGTATATGAATTTCAGAAGCATTTGCTTACAATACACCCAGTATTTCCCTTTTACTTATCCTTTTCCCTACAGTTTAAGAACTTTAGAATCACTCCGAATAAGTGCAGTTTTAAAATTATTTATTTTTAGCTCGAAGGACGTTAGCCCAGAAGGGCTATTAATTTCGTTTTGACATCTCGTGGCGTTTCGCTTTTCAAATTGTTGTCATCAAATATTATCGCCCAGTATTATACTTAAAGAAGTTAAATAAAAGTGAATCTGCATAAATGTATGTATGTTTCTTGCGCTGTGATAAAATAACGGTACTTAGCCATCAAATTTTGAATAACGTACGTCTCCACCCCAATATGGGCATCTGGAAGCGCAAATTTGAAATTTGGAATTTGTTTTATTATCTATTTCATATTTTGTAAATCATTTATGAGTTTTTGATTAAGAAACTGAATGATTTTAAAGTGAGCAATGGCAATACTGTACAAAAAATAAAAAAAAAACATTTTTATTCCCAGCGCTCGAGATTGTATCGGAAATTCTAAGGAAATGCTCTTTTTAAATTATTTTGCAATATTGCTGTTGAACTTAATTTACTGGCTTAAGTACGAAGAGCATGATATTTAATAAATAAAGGTAGCACACAAAACGTTAACAAAAAGCCCCTTTGGGCGTAATATAAATTTACCCTTTTTGTTTGTTTGTTTGTTAGACATTATAGCTTTTTTCAGCTGAACCTAAATATTGTGCAGTTAAAGGTTTCTTTGGGGGATTTTAATTATTAGTCAATTAGAATTAATATTAACTTCCTATTGCTTATGTTAAGTTCTCACTTCCAGAATAAAATGTGAAATATAGTAACATCTCATGTTAATATATAAGAAATTATTTCCATTTTTTCTCTTGATATGCATTTAGTTCAACGCACACCTATTGAATCTACCTGAATACTTTAGAGCTGATGGCTCGGGTATTTCTGAATCTTATTTGGATTTATACTCTTTGCAAACTATTCTCTCAGTTACTTTAACTTTATGACTAACTGCTAAAATATTCACCAAAATGATTTTAGTGTTGTTTCCGGAAATCATATGATTTATATTTAAAACTCATCCAGCTTTCTCTAAACGCTATCTATTAATAATTCTCAGACGTGCTACAACTCAATATAACTGAAAAAAAATATAGATTTACTTCTTGAATAAACTCTCATTCCAAAGATTTGTAGAAAGTGAGGACTTGAGGTAAATATTAGGAATTAAAAATTTCTACCTTCAGGTAATATATTTCGTGAATTAACGTATATATTTCGTGAAGTAACGAAAACAGCACTTCTTTGTTTTGATATTCACATAAGATTTTTTAACTGCATTTTTATTCACTAGGCATCCAAACAAAGCTTCACGGGAAACCGCTGCGCAATTCTTAACAATTTTAACCTCTATGATGGGTCCCGAAAATAGTCTTACGCCTTTCATGGCTTCTCATGTGATGAAATGTGCTGCTATGTTTGCAACTGACAGTTCCGCTCTTACAAGGTAAGGTAAAAGACTAATTGTTAATGTACTAAACATAATTAACTTTACCATTTTAATCCTTCAGTGTGCAGTAAATATTAATCGCATTACTATGAAAAAATAATACCAAATTTTAACGAAATCCGAAAATTCAACAAGGGGCCATTTTCATTGCAAAACGGAGCAATTAACCACTATAGTAAAATTAGAAAGAAATCAGTAAGATTAATTGTATCTATGTCGCTTTCTGCATACATCTATTTCGCTTAATAACTCAGATAAAAATGGATAGCTTCTCTGTACAATGCGATCCTTTTTATTAACACACACTGATTTTTATCAGTTATTTTTTCCAATCTTTTTTCAGCTTCATATTTTGCATTATCTGTCTGAATCTTCAGCTGCAGATTGCTTTAAAATCTCCTCTAAATGTTAGAAGTTTTGCCTCACCTTTAGTTGCTTGTTCATAAACCTTGTAAGGTATTTTCTTCCTTCTTTCCGCATGCCTTCTTGGTGTTATTGGAAGCATATTCGATGCGTATTCGAGAGGTCCTGGATTCCAGACCCGACGGGAGCATTGCACACTTTATGTGTATTTTCTCCCTCCTTCCAGCATACCTTCGTGCCTTAACGGTAGCACACTAGGCGCGTATTCGAGAGATCCACGTGCGAGTCCCTGCGACGGCATTGCTCATTTTTCATGTCTTCTGCTTCCAAATAATCTAATGACTCTAGAAATGGCGCTCGAATTAAAAGAAATTGGTGGATAATAATTCGACAAATACGTAAGTGAACAATTGGTTTCCTTCTCGACCACAGTAAAATACTGCACAGCGGGTAGATAGAGATACAGTAACAATCATCCGCAGTTATGTAACAATTTATCATCACCGGTGGGCGCAGAAGATACATCTAAGTCTAAAGGAACCGCCTAGAGCAAAACTAAGATTTTCACTGAAGTAAAGAGGCCAAAAATCCAAAATTTGATATAATTTCCAAAAGAAAAGCTACAAACGAGGAGGAGAGGTCAAAGAGAGCAGGAAAAGTTCAAAAAAAAGGTAACAGGGATTCAGAGAGAAGAACAAATAGTTAGCAGACGTCACGACCACTCGAGTAAGAGCCCAAGTCAGGTTAAAGAAGAAGGACAACGAAAGGCGCAGGAAAAAACAATCCCATACAGAACGCAACGGTATTGGAACAAGTGGACAGCTGCATCCAAATCCGCGATGTAAGTGAATTCTTGAAAATGACGAAGTGCGATGAAAATTAAAAAGAAACTGCGACCATGAGGAATAGAAGAAGGTCAGCCGAAATAGTGGAAGCTAGAGGTCGCAACAAAATTTTTATTCTATTGAGTCCCATCGTCTTTGCATTATACTTTCCCGAGATGGAATCCGTTATTACTCGTGATTGCGCAATTGGTTTATTTGCTGACGACATTGTACTTTGCTGTAGTTGTCCAAACATTGACAATATCGAATCCAGTATAAGCAATTCAATTTGGGATTTACTGTTGATCCCAAACTTAGCTTTCATCCTCTTCACTCTATAACTGGGATGTTTACTACAAACAGACGTCTATATAGTAAGAATCCGAAAATTATCCTAAATGGTCACATCTTGCATTGCGACAGGAATCCTTAATACCTTGGTTTTATCCATGACTCTGAAATCACTTGTAATAAGCACATGGTTTTACTGGTATCTAAGGCTAGAAAGGGACTAGATATTTTGAAATTTATTTCTGGATTCTACTGATGCCAAAAACCTAAGGACAACTTTTAACTGACTTATAAGACCGATTCTTGAATATGGATAACAAACCTATCATGTATCCTCGGATACAAATCTTCAAAAACTGGAAAGGGTAAAACTGAGTGCAGCGTGCCTTATTATAGGACTTCGCAACAGTACTCCAATTGAAATCGTTTTCTGAATTTATTTGCAACCCTTGCGGCTGAGAAGTATCCTTACTTTAAAAAGAAGGGTTCGGATGAACACGATATTTTTTCCAAAACAGAATGAATTTGTGGAGAAACACATCTAGGATTACCAGAAAATAAAACATGAATGCAAATTTGATGTATTTGAAACATTATGTTATGTTTAATTATACAAAGTTTCGCGTATGCTTTCACTTTATCTCAGGCGAGGATATTTAAGTTCTTATGCATAGTAAGAAGCTTTTTTCTTTTTTGCTTATGAGTTCGTCTGCTTTCGAAGAAATTAATTTTGTATGTTTAAGCCCAATATGTTGGATGCTCGAAAGAAATTTATAGTCAGAAAGTTTGGGCTCCAATTAAAATATAATAGCAAACAGAGTACGCATTTTTGCATTATTTTTTGTTAACGCCATATTGTAGTTTCAAAATAAGAATTCATTTAAATTGTTTAACTTAAATTTCTTTTATTTACGTTCTTCAAATAACGGAGATTTAAATTTGCAGACATAAGCTGTGCAATTCGTTGAATTCAAGCTTTCAGGAAAAGGTTTTTTAAAAAACCTTCTAAGGGCATCTTTCACAAAGTGAGCGAAAATTCGTTTAAAATCTAAATATAATTTGAATTTAGATTTGCACACATGATGTCTTATAACTAAATGCATGCGTATAAAGTTTTATTAAAAATTAGAATCCTGGAAGTTGTAAATAATTATTATATAATATTTCTTCACCGCTTTTAATCCACGTAAAATAAACAAAAATACATATTAAACGAAAGAGCAATAGCTTTATCTATGTAAATGATAGTTTTATTTTGTCCCTAATATGTAGAAATATATGCAATATATTTCAATTTCTCAAGAATCTATGAAATTCGTTTCTTAAACATAACACATTTATTTTTAAATTAGTATTTACAATACCAGCCGAAGATCTTTATCAAATGTTTTTAAATAAATTATTTCACATTTCTCATACTTATGATTGACCGAAATGTTTACATACGTTAAGTGGGTATTACTGAATTCAATGAGAAATAGTGAAAACCCTATATGCAGAGTTTTTATTAAAGATAAATTAAATGGAACTCTAGGTTCTACAGAACAAGACACAAAAATAAGTAAAAAACATTCTCGAACAAATCTTAATATACGATTTTATTCCGAACTATTTCTAATTTTGAAAAAAGTATTCAAAGTGTCTTGAGGAAACAACATTAAATATTAAAACTGTACAACAAAACTTATTAACTTATTTCTTGCAAAAAACATTTTTTCAAATATAATTTCCGATTTTTTTTTTTTTTTTTGAATTTACTGGTTATACATATTTGATAAGCATAACGATAAACATAAGAAAGACAAATGTTTCATTTCTTAAACAAGTTTTCAATGCAATGTCCAACACAAATGCCAGTGATATACAGAGAAAGAAGAAGAAATGCATGTCGTTTTATTCCTTTACGAATGACATTATTTCTTCTAATAACAGAGTTAACATAATAAGGACTATAATCTTTTAAAACATTTCCTTTAGGTTCTCTTTTCGGAAAATCAGTTTCAGATTGTTCCAGATATTGGTCGGTAGAAATATCCGTACTATTTTGTTTGTCGGTCTCTTTTAACTTTTGTTCAGTATATTCATCCGTTAGCATATTTACACGAAAAACATCAAGAGGATGCTCATAAGCGTTTGTATCAGCTGTCTTGAGGTTTTCCAAATAAGTTCCCATAGAAGTAATATCTTCCCTTCTTTTCATGCATATCCCTTTTTCTTTGCAAACATGTAAAATCATATTTAAAAGTGATTTCTGCTCTGAATCCTTCAGGTCGTTGCGCGTAGCAGTATAGCAAGTTTCAAGGCTTGAATTCTTCGCATTCTTGTGACCATTCAGGGCATTACTGCCTGAATCTGGCAATATATTTGAAGTTCCCATAGAAGTAATATCTTCCCTTCTTTTCATGCATATCCCTTTTTCTTTGCAAACATGTAAAATCATATTTAAAAGTGATTTCTGCTCTGAATCCTTCAGGTCGTTGCGCGTAGCAGTATAGCAAGTTTCAAGGCTTGAATTCTTCGCATTCTTGTGACCATTCAGGGCATTACCGCCTGAATCTGGCAATATATTTGAAATCACATGGGTGAGGTTTTCGTTCATTTTTACTGTGTCGCTTTTAAAAGAGTCATTTCCACTATTTGTTGTAAGACTAGTTTCAGAGGAACCCATTCTAAAGTGTTCTGTCAATACGTCGGCTAAATTACTATCTTCTTGTTTGTGCATACTTCCACTAATTGTGTTGATGCTATTCTCACTCTTATGAAGGGAATTCTTGCTTATGATATTACATTCGATCATAGCGGAGGTTTCATTTTCTGTGTCCTGATTATTAGGTACTTCACAGTTTTCAGTATCTACCAGCGACTTCTTCTGATTCAGTGTAGGCAGATCCATGACATGATCTACTTTCGAATTCTTCACAATTGATAACATTTTCATCAAAGTTCTGTACTTCATTGTAAACTTCACGTCTGATGTCTTCTTTAATCGTCGTTAATGGGCTTGCTTCAGAATGTTCATTCTTTGGAGGAATTTCACTGTCTGCAGAGGACTCCATTTCATCACATTCTGTCCACAGATCTATTAAATTAGCGTCATCTTGCTGGTTCATGTTTCTAAAGGTGATGCTGCTCATTCTTATCTCGTCCTGCCCAAATGGATTCAAACATTGGATACGAGATTTATATTCCTCCGCAAATTCTGCATATCGCCCTTCAAGTGTTTCCCTACTTTTTATCAAAAGGCTTGTTCTGCTATCATTTGCCTCAACATCAATTAGTTCTTCACTTTCATCAAATTTCATTTCGTACACCCGCTCTATTTTCTCAATAATGTCTTCATTTTTATTAACAGCAGAAATTTCGTGAGAGATATATCTTTCTTTATAATACATATCACCATCCGTAGAAACTTCAGAGAGGTCAGTATCGTTTTTTCTTCCAATACTTTTCCCAGTCGGCAACGTTAGTATATCCATAATATTATCTCTTCCATCAGAATCCTTTTTCTCATTTGGTTTC